AATACTCAACCAAATGAATGAGCTCTTCTGGAAAGAGGAAACAGTGTATTATGCCAAAAATAAACCATTCCCATTACTAAATTGACTAATGGTATAATGTTATATGTTTTGAACTACCTATTATAAATCTTATTAATGATAGAATTTTTACTTATACCTAATACTTTTATTTATGTCCTACACATTATTGAAACATTAAAATCTACTGTTCCATAACTGTGTCAATAAATCGAGTAGTCGTAGATTAGGATTGTCTGCCCAAATGCCTAGGGCATGCCTAGTGCTTCTTTGTAATTACATTTTTTATATGTAATCTCACACACTGTGAGTTTTGCAAGGAAATAAACATTATCATTTTCATTTCAAAAAGGGTATTCTAGACTATGTGTAGACCTAGTGTTGCGCTGATGATGCAGAATAACAAAGTTTGTAAGGTCAAGAGTGATGCTTGGTGTGAGTATAAATACTACAATGTGAATATACAGTTAAAGATCTGTTCCTTGGAATATGTATATTTCCTTTGTGTTAACCAGTGTCCAGCATAGTGCTAAAAATTGACAGGAAAAAAAATAATAGTGAAGTGTTGTAAGGACTGTCAGACAATTTAAACACCACCACACGTACTTGACATCTACATGCAGAGCAGAAGGTATATTGGTGAAAATCAGGTTTGTTGGACCCAGACAGCAAGTCGGATACAGCAGGATTGTGTACAGTATACTGTGGGAAATGTGAAAAAGCCCGTGGAAGAAAGCCAGGATGACTCAATCTAGTTTTTTTCAAACACAATATCTCTTGTCCAAGAATAAATAACTACATCCAAAAATGGGATACTACAAGGTGTTTCTGGATTTTCAAGAGAGAGATGGAACTAGACAGGTATAGGAGGAAAGTACTTGGGAGGGTAATAATTAATAAGCAGGAAAACAAAGAGGAAAGGTCTTCCCCAAAATACATAGGGAACATGGGAGGTTGGAGGGGAGAAGCATAGTTTAAAAAAAACCCCCCTTTCACTGTCGAGACCCTGATCTGAACTCACTGTGTCAAAAAAATATTAAAAAGAAAAAAAAATAATTTTTTTCTCCCCAACCAAATCTTAAGAATAATGTTTGTGAGTGCTTTAAAGAAAAAAAATTTGCGAATCAGTACTTACCGAGATGCAGAGCGTGAAAGTTGAGTTGACAGAGGTGAACCACTTACGGCATCGTAGTGACTGCCGCTCACTTGGTATATTACAAGTGGACCCCCGCATACCGACACATGCATACCGTACAATCCGCTTCATAACCTCTCGCTTTTTTCGCAAAAATTTCTGCCTTGCATACCGGCCCAAAAAACCCGCTCCACCGCCCTTTCGTTCGAGAGCGTCCAATGTGCGGCCTGAGCCACGCTCACATGTTCGCCGGTCGGCACTGTTTACCAGCCAGCCTCGCGGGTAACATCCAAAGCATACAATCGGACATTTCGTATTATTTACAGGTTTTGGTGATTTTTTTCTGGAAAATAAGTGAACATGGGCCCAAGTAGCTTCTAGTGCCAACCTACAGCAATAAGGGTGAGAATTACTAGTAGAGATACGAAAAAGATCATTGATAAGTATGAAAGTGGAGACGCGTGCGTGTCTTCCGAGATGGACAGGTTGTATATAACCCCATCAACCCATCGCTACTATTGGTGGTACAGCTGCTGCTGCACTGTCAGCTGCACCTGCTGTGTTGTCCACCGTCAGCTGCTGTGCTTGCTGTTAGCATGTCTGCTGCTGCTGTAGCTTGTCTGTTGATGCTTGTTAGCTCTTCGTCTGCTGCTGCTGTACGCATCGTCTGTGCTTGCTGTAGCATCGTTGCTGCTGCTGTAGCATCGTCTGCTGCTGCCTGTAGCATCATCTGTTGTGCTGTAGCATCGTCTGCTGCTGCTGTAGCATCTTCTTTGCTGCGATAGCATTGTCTGTGCTGCTGTACCACCGTCAGCTGCTGCTGCTGCTGTAGCTACTGTTGTTGGTGTGGCTTATTGAGTATACCAAGAAACAAATTACCCCAGAGGATTTGCCACCCAGGATAACCCAATAAGTCGTGTCATCGTAGACTGTCTACTTATTTCCATTGGGGTCCTTAATCTTGTCTCCCAGCGATGCAACACCACACAGTCGACTAACACCAGGTGATACAGGAGAAAATGCCTGGAACTAGTGTCATATTGGTGAATTTAAGCAGCTAAGGTTTTTGGTTTGAGTGTTTTAGAATCGTAGTGACATACACAGTGTGATTAAGGCAGTTTGTAGAAATTACCAAACAGGACCTACAGGACTCAGGAGGAAAGCACTCCCAGGACAAAGTGTCTCATCAGTCATTGCTGCATTCTTCAATAAAGATAAGTGTCATTTATTTCTTCATTTAGTAGAGTAGAAATACTGCACAATATTATATTGTGGCATGTACTACTCTACTATTGCTTGTTCCTTCTCTTTGTGTGTAGGAAAATGTATATTTCATGTGGTAAAATTTTTTTTTCATACTTTTGGGTGTCTTGCACGGATTAATTTGATTTCCATTATTTCTTATGGGGAAAATTCATTCGCATACCCAAAACATTTCGCATAACAACTGCCCTCTTGAACGGAATTAAGGTCGCTATGCGGGGGTCCACTGTATTTTTACTTTTATTCGATTTTTTCTTTTCTAATATTTTATTTTTTCAACCCTTTGAGGGTCGACAGGCCCTCTCCGAGACTTGTTCTCATGGTCGGCCAAATTAAAAAAAAAAAAAAAAAAAAAAAAAAAAAAAATCTCATGAAAAGATAGAGAATCTTTTCCCGATCATAATGACACCAAAAGTATGAATTTTGATAGAACTTATGGAATTATGTTCTCGCGAGTTAGCGGTCTCGAGGTACATTGTTTATGGACATCGGCGATTTTGCCCACTTCTGTGCTCCATTTTTGGCCAATTTCATGTACTAGTCGACAAAATCATAACTATTTTGCTAGAACTCTATTTTTGGTATTGAATGAGTGCAAGAAAACCCACCCATTTACCGATTTCAACATCCAATACAGCGGTACAGTTTTTAGAAATTTTGCCAATTTCACTCAAAATTTCAAAAGATGCCAATTTCGAATAGGGTCCAGAATAAACAAGAAGACATTTCCTGGCACTAAAAATAACATTTCCTCTGTTCGTTAGTCATATCGCCAGGCCCCTCTTTATTTCTTTGGCTTTCCACTTTCAATTTTTATTCTCAAAAAAAATAAAGGATTTTACTGTTATGCAGACTACTGATTAGTGGACAAATGTATAAATAATATCAGTGCACTTGTGAAGAATATTAGACTCATCAGTTGAGTGTATTGGACACCATAGCATGATTTGTTTACTTTTGAAAACTTTGGTTAAAAAATCGAACATTTCTGTACTTTGAGCTCAATTTCAGATACTTTTCATTGTAAAACAGTCAAAATCATCTCAATTTCTTAATATGTCTTCCATTCTATAAAATGAGCCAAGAAATAGAATACAACAATAAATACCATACAAAAGTACAGTGCAAAGTCGCTGTTTTATTCCAAAAACACGGTCAAAGTTTTTTTTTTTCTCATTATGCACTGTGTGCTGCAGGATTTTTTTTATACTGCACACACTGACCACATAGACCCATTCTTTCATATATAGGCCTACTAGCTTTCTCCCACTAGATTTGAGGGCGCCAGAATTTATGCGTACTAGTACGTCAAAAACCCTGGGTTGTAAGCCATACTAGTACGGCCGAAACCCTCAAAGGGTTAAGTAACTTTTGTGGCCCGTGAGACCAATATAATGCATAATGTATATACAGTAGACCATCATTTAACATGGTAGTAACACTCCTGAAAATGCCGTGGTAGCTAAAAACCCCGTGAGACAAATTGAAGAACTTATGAGAAAATAGGGTTACGTTCCAGGGAGCCCCCAAAAAGCCAAACAACTTTTTTTTAGACCAACAGGTCTTACAAAAATAAAAGTGAATATATAATTGTAGTTCATTGTCGTGATATATTATGTTTTTACTGCTTAAGACTACAAATGCAACAGAAATAATAGTATTTCTTACCTTAACCCTTAAACTGTCCAAACGTAGATATACATTTGCTCGCGTAATGCTCCGAACGTAGATCAATGTTTCATTTTTCATTCCTTCAAAACTGGGGTGATAGGACTGAGTTGCCTAGACACGAGAGAATGGGTTGTAACACTCGGTGTGCACAGTATTAAAAAAATCTGGGACCACTTAGTACCTTGTGGGAGCACCAGCTAGAGCAAATAGCGTGGCAAATACCAGGGATTCACTGATGTCATGTCGCATTAACACTCCCCTTTTAAGAAGTAAAAATAGGCTAGATAAATACATGAGTGGGTGTCAGCTGGACTTGACTAGCTTGTGCTACTACGTCTGATGCCATGCTCCTTCCTTCAGTGGATGTGACCTGACTAGATCCGTCATTGGTCTATGCCAAAGGGGTGACATGGACCTGCCTTGCATGGGCCATTAGGCCTGCTGCAGTGTTCCTTCTTTCTTATGTTCTTATGTATTTGGCAGGCTGGCCAGCTTTGACTGTTTCTGGCTGTCTCTGTCTATATCTCTCTCTCTCACATGTACACATAAGTACAGTTATTATACATAAAGATAAGAAGCTGCTAGAATTTTGGCTTACTATTACAGAACCAACACTAGCCTGCAAGCCGTAATATTACGGGACTGACAGTGAAAGGATTAATCTCTAATAACCTATCAATAATAATTTATTTCCTAGAAACCAGATACAATACAATGTTTTAAAACCCACAGTAACAACTACAACACTTATAGCGTACAAGTGTGAATACACCTGATAACAAGTGTGAAGAACACTTGAGACTTCTTAAAGAATGTAAGAAAACCTCTCCCACCCTCACTTCTTAATAAGAGAGCAGTGGATTAATTTTAAACAACACTAGCTTCTTAAAAGCTACAAGAAGACCTCACTTACCTTAACTTCTTTATGAGAGAGTAGTGGAATAAGCTTGGGCACCACGCCGCTGTCAATCACTAGTTGAATATTTACATTACCACCATCGGTCAAGTAGCTGAGTGCCCACACTGTGTCCACCAGGATCTGTTGACAACACTAATTAACTCATTCACTCATTAACAAGTTAACTCTTTAACTCACTCACTAATTACCTAATAAATGATTCGCTGCCCATCAGGTTAACTGGCTAACAAATTAACTGGCTGGCTGGAGAAGTAGTAGTATGGCTATATACTCAAACATCCTTAAAAATGCTCCTCTACATACAGTCATTTCTCTTACAAGAGAACTGACTGCATATAGAGGAGCTTTATAAGAGAACTGACTGCATATAGAGGAGCTTTATAAGAGAGCTGACTGCATATAGAGGAGCTTTATAAGAGAACTGACTGTATATAGAGGAGCTTTATAAGAGAACTGACTGTATATAGAGGAGCTTTATAAGAGAACTGACTGTATATAAAGTAGATTCAAACATGACAGTAAATTAACATAGTAGACTAACACAACAGTGATAGTAGACTAACACAACAGTGGTAGTAGACTAACACAACAGTGGTAGTAGACTAAAAACAACAGGGGTAGTTGGGACTAACACAACAGTGGTGGTGGGACTAACACAACATGGTAAGTAGACTAACAAAAACAGTGGTAGTACACTAACACAACAGTGGTAGTAGACTAACACAACAGTGGTAGCAGACTAACACAACAGTGGTAGTAGACTAACACAACAGTGATAGTAGACTAACACAACAGTGATAGTAGACTAACACAACAGTGGTAGTAGACTAACACAACAGTGATAGTAGACTAACACAACAGTGGTAGTAGACTAACACAACAGTGGTAGCAAACACAACAGTGGTAGTAGACTAACACAACAGTGATAGTAGACTAACACAACAGTGGTAGTAGACTAACACAACAGTGGTAGCAAACACAACAGTGGTAGTAGACTAACACAACAGTGATAGTAGACTAACACAACAGTGGTAGTAGACTAACACAACAGTGGTAGTAAACTAACATAACTTCATCTTTGATATATTTCTGAAGTTTCGAGTTTCACTACTCTCGGAGCCCAGCCATTGGCCAGGCTCATCTGGTACTTGCCTGGTCAACCAGGCTATTGCTGCTGGAGGCCCGCTGCCCCACATATCCATCACAGTTCCCCAACCCTGAGTCAATACTCGTTTGAAATTCTATGAAGTTATGATCAGAGTATATTGTTTTTGGAACAGTTATATCTCTAATTAGTTCCATGTTGTTTGGGAATATCAAATCCAGGGTACATATTTTCATTTCTAGTGGGATCAATTATCTGTTGCTTCAATGAGTACTTTTCACAAAGCCTCATTAGTTCCCTGGTATGTACCTGTTGAGACAGGGTGCTTCCCAGAGGTATTCTGGTATAAAATTGCATTGTGCCATCATTTTACAAGTGGGAGATTAACCCTTTCACTGTCGAGACCCCTGCTCACAAACTTGCTCTCAAGTGTCAAAAAAAACAAAAAAAAATTCTTGTGAAATGATAGAGAATCTTTTCCCGATGGTAATGACACCAAAAGTATGAAATTTGATGGAAAACTTACAGCATTATGCTCTCACGAAGTTAGTGGTCTCGGCAATATTTACACATCGGCGATTTGGCCCACTTTGAGTCCTATTTTTGGCCAATTCCATTGTTCCAGTCAGCTAAACTCATTGCTATTTTACTAGAACTCTATTTGTTCTACAAGAAACCGCTTATTTACTGATTTCAACTACCCAATAAAGTCATCAGAAATTGGTAATTTCGCCAATTTTATACACAAGTAAGGCTAATTTCAAAATAGGATCCAGAATAAACAAGGCAGACATTACCAGCACTAAAATGACATTTTCTCTGTTCATCAGTCATGTTTCCAGGCCCCTCTAATATTACACTTGCTTTCCATTTTTAATTTTTATTCACACAAAAAATAGAAGATTTACTGTTATGCAGACTACTGCATTACTTTAAAAATGGTATAAATAATATCAGTGCAATTGTGAAAGAATATCAGACGAGCATTGGATGTGTAGCGTGATTTGTTTACTCTTGAACATCAGCTATTTTGAGCTCAATTTTTAGGTACTTTTATTCCAAAAACCATTCAAAATCATTTCAATTTCTGTAATATATCTTCCATTCTAACAAATGAAACCAAGAAAATGAGAATACAACCATAAATACCATACGAAAATCCACCGCAAAATCAGCGTTTTAAACCAAAAACAGTCAGATTTTTTTCTCATTGTGCACTGTGTGCTGCAGGATTTTTTTATACTGTGCACACTGACCACTAAGACCCATTCTCTCATATGTAGGTCTACCAGCTTTCTCCCATTAGATTTGAAGCTGCTAGAATTTTGGCGCAATACTACGGCACCAACAATGAAAGGGTTAAAATCTCCAAGGAGTAAAATATTTAGTGTGGGATATTCTAGCCTATCCAGACAGCTATTGTCTTCCTTAACTGATCTGTGAATGCCTCAGCAGTTACTGATGGTGGTTTGTATACTAAGATAATTACCAAATTCCTATTTTCAACTTTAATATCTAGGATTTCTACTGTATTTATCGTAGAATTCAGAACTTCTATGCAGCAGAAAGTAGTAGACTAACACGACAGCAGTAGTACATTAACATGATACTAGGAGTAATAGACTAACATGATACTAGCAGCAGTAGACTAACATGATACTAGCATCAGTAGTGACTAACCGAGGTGTCCTGGTGGTGTATAAGTATATTAAGTGCAGGCAGTATCTCCTTGATAGTTTCCTGAGGAGGCGGAGGTTCCTTGTTCCTACACAGGTTCACCACCACCCACGTCACATTACGAAGGAACCCAATTGGGATCTCTGGGTTGATGAACCCCAAGAGGGGTTCAACCACACCCAGGGAGATGACATAGTCTCTCAACTGTGGCCCGTCACCAATAATGTTGCCTGCAACAACAAGAAGATTATCATGTAGTGATTATAATGCAGTGTTGCCTGCAAGATTATGATGTAGTGTTGCCTGCAACAAGATTATGATGTAGTGTTGCCTGCAACAAGATTATGATGTAGTGTTGCCTGCAACAAGATTATGATGTAGTGTTGCCTGCAACAAGATTATGATGTAGTGTTGCCTGCAACAAGATTTGATGTAAGTGTTGCCTGCAACAAGATTATGATGTAGTGTTGCCTGCAACAAGATTATGATGTAGTGTTGCCTGCAACAAGTTTATGATGTAGTGTTGCCTGCAACAAGATTAGATGTAGTGTTGCCTGCAACAAGATTATGATGTAGTGTTGCCTGCAACAAGATTATGATGTAGTGTTGCCTGCAACAAGATTATGATGTAGTGTTGCCTGCAACAAGATTATGATGTATTGTTGCCTGCAACAAGATTATGATGTAGTGTTGCCTGCAACAAGATTATGATGTAGTGTTGCCTGCAACAAGATTATGATGTAGTGTTCCCTGCAACAAGATTATGATGTAGTGTTGCCTGCAACAAGATTATGATGTAGTGTTGCCTGCAACAAGATTATGATGTAGTGTTGCCTGCAACAAGATTATGATGTAGTGTTGCCTGCAACAAGATTATGATGTAGTGTTGCCTGCAACAAGATTATGATGTAGTGTTGCCTGCAACAAGATTATGATGTAGTGTTGCCTGCAACAAGATTATGATGTAGTGTTGCTTGCAACAAGATTATGATGTAGTGTTGCCTGCAACAAGATTATGATGTAGTGTTGCCTGCAACAAGATTATGATGTAGTGTTGCTTGCAACAAGATTATGATGTAGTGTTGCCTGCAACAAGATTATGATGTAGTGTTGCCTGCAACAAGATTATGATGTAGTGTTGCTGCAACAAGATTATGATGTAGTGTTGCCTGCAACAAGATTATGATGTAGTGTTGCTTGCAACAAGATTATGATGTAGTGTTGCTTGCAACAAGATTATGATGTAGTGTTGCTTGCAACAAGATTATGATGTAGTGTTGCCTGCAACAAGATTATGATGTAGTGTTGCCTGCAACAAGATTATGATGTAGTGTTGCCTGCAACAAGATTATGATGTAGTGTTGCCTGCAACAAGATTATGATGCAGTGTTGCTTGCAACAAGATTACGATGTAGTGTTGCTTGCAACAAGGACATTATGATGTAGTGTTGCCTGCAACAACAATGAAATTATGTAGTGTTCCCTGCAAGTACAGTAGATGATGCAGTCTGTCAACTGTGGCCTGCCACCAATGATGTTACCTGCAAGAACATGAAATTATGACGTAATGTTGCCTACAAATATACTTAATAACCTAACCACTGTTAGCATTTCACACCATGCCACTAGGCTGGTGCTGCCATCTGGTAGGCCTGCCTAGGACTACCTAGAGTTTGCTCCACAAGTCACTGTATCTGCCTCACTCTTATAAGAACCTCATAAGAATAGACAGGCACTGACTGGAACCTCAACCTGCAAACAACAAAGGTAAGAACCTCATAAGAATAGACAGGCACTGACTGGAACCTCAACCTGCAAACAACAAAGGTAAGAACCTCATAAGAATAGACAGGCACTGACTGGAACCTCAACCTGCAAACAACAAAGGTAAGAACCTCAAAGAGTAGACAGGCACAGACTGAAACCTCAACCTGCAAACAACAAAGGTAAGAACCTGTTACGGTTCGAATCTTAATCTTTAGCCAGGTTAGTGCACTCCGTAACAACACACTTCATAGAATGAGAGGATATGGTTCCAAACTTAGAAATGTAAGGCACAAATAATAGTTACTCAGTCTTTTCTAGTTTCTTTTTATTTAAAAGTTTAAATACTTTAGATATTCATAAATATCTATTAAATATCACTTTGTCAGAAACTTTCCTTCACACAAGAAAACTCTTAATTAGAATGTACATCACAGACCCCCTCTGGAGACTGTCAATATGGTCACTACACTTGATAATGATCAGAGGAATATTACTGCTTCCTCAATAGTAACATTACTTGTGTGCAAGTACATATATTGAGAATTAACACTTTCACTGAGTAACTCCCTGGCATAAGGAATATATCACAAAGTTCTAAGCTTGACACTGGTCGTCACATCGTAACCTGAAGATAACAGTATATAATTGTCCGCAGACTTCACTTCACAATAAACCACAAGCTGGTTCAGGAGTTTCTATAACACAATTCTCTATCCAAGTAAGAACAAGGCAGAGTACTAGGAGGGTAGCTCAGTCAATGCACACTGAGTCGGCAGAGAGAGTGAACTGCCATATACAGTAAATCCCTTCATGACATCAACTCGTCAAAAGGGGGAGAGGGTAGAGCGGTGCAAACTACCCACCAATGGACATACCTTGTTATAAACCTTAGCCAGGTGTACCTACCTAACACATTACTCAACATTATATATATATATATATATATACATCATACCCAGGTATATTCCTAAATCAGATAATATTATAAACTAGTGGAATCTTTAATTTAGCTAATATTAAAGAAACTCCGAGTATAATATTAAGTGGATAATACATATAAATTAATCCCATTATGACCTTGGTCATAACATACCCCCCCCCCTTTTGGGGACTAAACTTCGCCGTAAAAGAGGATTTCAGAAAGTATATAAACCAGAATACAAGTCATTCCTCTGACAAAGACCCTGATGACAAATGTTGCTTCTCCAACAAGAAAATTAAAAGTCTTGTGTCGCCAAACCACGTATGTGTAGACACCACGTAACTAGAGCTTCTGGTAGAAGAGGCGTTTCTCATAAAGAGGCCTTAAGTGACCATTGGTAGCAGGAGAAGTCAGGGTAAGACAACAGGAGACTGCCACCGCAGAAATAAGTTCTGGATACCACATGGTGGCTTACGTGACAGGTCTCCTCAGTGATTACAAGAATCAGATAACTGTAAGTAAACAAATAGCATTAAAAAATGCATTAAGCAAATACATATCTATAAAAATGTACTATAAATCCTCTTTTGTAAACTCAAATTTAATTACATGTCTTAAGGGTGGGACAGAGTGTCAGCAATCACATTATCAGCTCCTCTAATATGGTTAATACTTATAGAAAAAGGCTGTATTCTAAGGGATCATCTTTGTATTCTAGCATTTTTAGCCTTCATTGTGTTTAAAAGGGTTTAAGGGATTATGATCTGTTTTTACTCTAATTTTATGAGGGGTAGTCCCGAGATAAACCTCAAAGTGTTCCAAGGCTAAGACCAATGCTAGTGCCTCCTTTTCAACGGTTGCATAACTTAATTGATGGGGTTTCAATTTTGCAGAAAAATAACAGACTGGGTGTAAAAGATCAGAAGAGGAGGAAGGTTGTAGAAGGACAGCACCGACTGCATACTCGCTGGCATCCACTTGTAAAGTAAAGGGAGCATCGAACACCGGACTCTGTAGAACTGGAGAGGAACCAAGTAGACGCTTTAGACGAGTAAAGGCTAACTCACTTGTAGTCGTCCATTTAAAAGGAACTTTAGAACTTGTAAGTTCAAACAGCGGTGCTGCCACTTGCGAAAAATTAGGGCAAAACCGGCGGTAGTAACCGGCCATCCCTAGAAACCTCTGTACACCTTTCTTGTCTTGCGGAGCAGGAAAATCCATAATAACATGAATCTTTGCATTAATGGGGGCAACCGTGCCTTGCCCTATATTAAATCCCAGATATTTTATCCGGGCCTGACCAAGCTCACACCTAGCAAGGTTGACGGTAAAATGGTGTTCATCTAGCCTTTTCAAGAGTGCTTCCAGCCGAACCAGGTGTTGAGGCCAGTCATCGCTGAATACTACCAGATCATCTAGGTAGGCTTCCGTTCCTTCCAAGTCGTACGTTAGCCAATTCATAAGCCTCTGGAAGGTCGAGGCTGCATTGCAGAGACCGAAGGGCATCACCCTGTAGTTAAACAGGCCTCCAGGCATGGTGAAAGAAGAAATCTCCTGCGCTTGGGGCGATAACGGCACTAGATAATAACCTCGCAGGAGGTCCAAACGACTGACATACTTAGCACTGGCGACGCTGTCTATTAGGTCGTCAACCCTAGGAAGGGGGAATCCGTCAGGCATGGTTAGGGAATTTACTTTCCGATAGTCGGTACACATTCTAAATGAACTGTCCGACTTTGGTACAAGGACACACGGTGAAGCCCAAGGGCTTTTGCTATGTTCAATCAAACCATGATCGAACAAGAAACTTATTTTCTCCCGCAGAGCTTTATTCTTTACTGGGCTGACTCTATACGGAGCTTGTTTAATCGGAGCAGCTCCTTGCACGTCCACATCGTGGATCCCCATGGTGCACTGCAAAAGGAATATCTCCAAAGAGACTTCTATAAGTGGAAATCAAGTCTCGGATTTCACTTGATCTTTCCTTTTCTAAGTTACCGAGATAATCATCTAAGGTTTCCATTATTTCCGAGTTCTTCAGTCTTATCTCTACTCCACGTGAACAATCTTCTTTACTTGAGTCACCTTCTTGTGACCTCACCGCAGCCACAGGGACAAGTCCTTCACAGTATTTCTTTAGCTGATTTATATGGTAAGTTCGGGTCGACTTTCTTCTTCCTGGTGTTCTTACCACATAATTTACCTTACTCAGCTTCTTAATCACCTCCATTGTACCCTCATACTTGGGTTGCAAGGTATGGCCTGGCACTGGCTTTAAAGCTAACACTTTGTCTCCCACATTTAATGAACGCTCAATAGCAGTCTTGTCATAACTTTGTTTCATACGGTTTTGAGCTTGTCTGAGGTTGTCAGCCGCCAATTGCCGAGTAAAAGCCAAGTGTTCTTGCATTGCCGTGGGGGATAAACATAAAGAAGGCTCCACTTTCCCAGACCATACGTCCTTTAGCATTACTAACGGTCCTTGGACCGCATGACCATAAATGAGTTCAAAAGGACTACAGTGGACCCCCGCATACCGTCGCCATCACATAACGTACAATCCGCATACTGCTCGCTTTTATCGCAAAAATTTTGCCTCGCATAGCGCTCAAAAACCCGCTCACCGCTCTTCGTCCGAGACGCGTCCAATGTGCGCCCTTAGCCAGCCTCACATGTGCCACTGGTGGCATTGTTTACCAGCCTGCCTCCGCGGTAACATCCAAGCGTACAATCGGAACATTTCGTATTATTACAGTATTTTTGGTGATTTTATCTGCCAAATAAGTGACCATGGGCCCCAAGAAAGCTTCTAGTGCCAACCCTACAGCAATAAGGGTGAGAATTACAATAGAGATGAAGAAAGAGATCATTGATAAGTATGAAAGTGGAGTGCGTGTCGCCGACCTGGCCAGGTTGTACAAGATACCCAAATCAACCATCGCTACTATTGTGGGCAACAGAAAGGCAATCAAGGAAGCTGTTCTTGCCAAAGGTTTAAAATGTGTTTTCGAAAAAGAGATCGCAAGTGATGGAAGATGTTGAGAGACTCTTATTGGTGTGGATAAATGAAAAACAGCTAGCAGGAGATAGCGTTTCTCAAGCGATCATAAGCGAAAAGGCTAAGAAGTTGCATGAGGATTTAATTAAAAAAATGCCTGCAACTAGTGATGATGTGAGTGAATTTAAGGCCAGCAAAGGTTGGTTTGAGAGATTTAAGAAGCGTAGTGGCATACATAGTGTGATAAGGCATGGTGAGGCTGCCAGTTCGGACCACAAAGCAGCTGAAAAAATATGTGCAGGAATTCAAAGAGTACATAGACAGTGAAGGACTGAAACCTGAACAAGTGTTTAATTGTGATGAAACAGGCCTGTTTGGAAGAAAATGCCAAGCAGGACCTACATTACTGAGGAGGAAAAGGCACTCCCAGGACATAAGCCTATGAAAGACAGGCTTACTTTGTTGATGTGTTCCAATGCTACTGGTGATTGCAAAGTGAAGCCTTTATTAGTGTATCACTCTGAAACTCCCCGACCGTTCAGGCAAAAGAAGTCCTCAAGGAGAATTTGTGTGTGCTGTGGAGGTAAACAGTAAGGCATGGGTCACTAGGGACTTTTTCTATGACTGGTTACACCATGCATTTGCCCCCCAAAGTGAAAGATTACCTAACTGAAAAGAAATTAGAACTTAAGTGCCTCCTGGTGTTAGACAATGCCCCTGGTCATCCTACAGACGTGGCAGAGCAACTTTATGGGGACATGAAATTCATTAAGGTGAAGTTTTTGCCTCCTAATACCACTCCTCTCCTGCAGCCATGGGCCAGCAGGTTATTGCAAACTTCAAAAAACTGTACACAAAAGCTCTGTTTGAAAGGGTCTTTGTAGGACCTCAGAAACTCAACTGACTCTAAGAGAGTTTTGGAGAGAGCACTTTAATATCCTCAATTGTGTAAACATTATAGGTAAGGCTTGGGAGGGAGTGACTAAGAAGACCTTGAACTCTGCTTGGAAGAAACTGTGGCCAGAATGTGTAGACAAAAGGATTTTGAAGGGTTTGAGGCTAACCCTGAGAGGATTATGCCAGTTGAGGAATCCATTGTGGCATTGGGAAAGTCCTTAGGGTTGGAGGTTAGTGGGGATGATGTGGAAGAGTTGGTGGAGGAGGACAATGAAGAACTAACCACTGATGAGCTGATAGATCAACTTCAACAGCAAGAGGCCAGACCTGAGGAAACTGGTTTTAGAGGAGGGGAGAGAGAAATTGAAGAAGTTGCCTACTACAAAGATTAAGGAAATCTGTGCAAAGTGGCTTGAAGTGCAACCTTCATGGATGAAAATCACCCTCACACAGCTATTGCAAGCCGTGTTGGCATCTGTACACTGACAATGTGTGAAACACTTTAGGGGAAATCATAAAGGAACGAGAGGTACAGGCCACTATGGATAGATATGTTGTGCGAAAGAAGTCCAGTGACTCTGAAGCTAGTCCTAGTGGCATTAAAGAAGAAGGGAAGTAACCCAGAAAAGAACTCGACACCTCAAGTCTTAAAACCCCTTTTACTGTCGCGGCCGGATATATACGTTTGTGAGGTACCGTGTTTGACGTATATATACTCATAAATTCTAGCGGCTTCAAATCAGGCAGGAGAAAGCTAGTAGGCCCACATGTGAGAGAATGGGTCTGTGTGGTCAGTGTGCACCACATAAAAAAAATCCTGGAGCACGCAGTGCATAATGAGAAAAAAAAAAAATCCGACCGTTTTTTTTAATTAAATGCCGACTTTGTGGTCTATTTTCGTATAGTATTTGTGGTTGTATTCTCGTTTTCATGGTCTCATTTGATAGAATGGAATCTATATTATTTGAAATGGAGGTGATTTTGATTAATTTTACCATAAAAAGAACCTGGAAATGGAGCACAAAGTACAGGAAATGTTTGATTTTTGCCGATGTTCAAAAGTAAACAAATTATGTCATTGTCCAATAAATGTCCAAATAGCCATTCTAATACGCAGTCATGAATGGGTTGATGTAATTTTTACAATTATTACAGTATTGCAGTAGTCTGCATAACAGTAAATCTTCTATTTTTTGTTTGAATAAAATTTCAAAATAAAAAGCAAGAGTAATATCACAGGGACCTGGAGACAGACTGATGAAAAAAGAAAATCTTATTTTAGAGCCAGGAATGTCTGCATTGTTCATTCTGGAAATTATTTGGAAATTGTCGTATTTTTTAATTTTCGTGAAAATTTGCCAAATTGCAAATTTCTGACCATGTTATTGGGTAGTTGAATCGGTAAATAGGCAGTTTCTTGTGCTCAATCGATAGAAAAAATAGAGTTCTGAAGAAATAGTTATGAGTTTGGTTGACTGGAATAACGGAATTAGCCGAAAATAGGCTCAAAGTGGGCGAAATTGCCGATTTTTAAATATCGCCGAAGTCGCTAACTTCGCGAGAGCGTAATTCCGTCAGTTTTCCATCAAATTTCGTTTTTTTGGTGTCTTTAAAAATCGGGAAAAGATTCTCTATCGTTTCATAAGAAAAAAATAATTTTTTTTTTTCGAATATTTTGCGACACCAGGAGCAACTTCAGGATTGGGCCCTTCGACAGTCAAAGGGTTAATGGAAGGGGATTCCCCTTCTAAACACTAACTCTCTCTCTCCCCTCCTCCCATCCCATCAATCATCACCAGATCTTCAATAAAAGTAAGTGTCATGTAATTGTGCATGCCTTTTTCAGTTTGTGTGTATTAAAATTAACATTTCATGTGGTAAAATTTTTTTTTTCATACTTTTGGGTGTCTTGCACGGATTAATTTGATTTCCATTATTTCTTATGGGGAAAATTCATTCGCATACCGATCATTTCGCATAACAATGAGCCCTCTTGCACGGATTAAGTCGCTATGCGGGGGTCCACTGTATATCCTAAACTCTCCTGTTCGCTCTCTCTTAAGGCAAGGAGGAGGAAAGGAATACCTTCATCCCAGTCTGTTGAGAACTGCTCACAGTATGCCCTCATCATGATCTTCAGGGTTTGGTGAAACCTCTCTATGACACCTGGGTTTGGGGTCTATATGCTGTTGAAAAAAATGGGGTTTTTAAATCCGACCCTGGACATAGCTTCACGGAAAATCTTTGATGTGAAATTCGTCCCTCTGTCAGATTGAATCTCCTTAGGGAATCCAAACTGTGCGAAGAATCTAAATAGGACTCTCACAATAGCCTTGGCACTAATCTTGCGAAGGGGCACAGCCTCTGGATACCGAGTAGTCGTATCCATTATAGTAAGAAGATATTGATTGCCAAGCCTAGTTTTTGGGAGAGGTCCCACACAGTCTATTACGAGCCGAGAGAAGGGTTCACCTTCTATGGCAATAGGTAAGAGGGGCGCAGGAGGAGGTTTTTGTGCAGGCTTTCCAATGAGCTGGCAAATAGCACAGTTTCTCAAGTACTCAGTCATGGTATCCTTCATCTTGGGCCAGAAGAAATATCGGGCTAATTTTCCTAAAGTCTTTCTTATTCCCAAATGTCCGCCCATGGGGCTAGAATGTGCCACTTCCAATGCTAACTCCCGAAATAGGACAGGTAAAACCAAGAGCTGTTTTGGCTTGAGACATGAATTAACTGAAGTCGACGGAAATTTCTTCATCAGGATACCGTCAGAGTAATAAAAACA